AGGGTGGGGAGTTAATAAAGTCATTTTTATACTCTTTGATACCATTCAACATTATCTCCTCTACTCCAGTGTTCATGCTGGTATACTTTCTCATTTTCTGCCTGAAGTTGGACCCCATCTCTACCAGCTGCACTAGGGTGTATGAACTCATGGTACCTATTTGTAGCAAGGAGCAGATTTGAATCATCCCCCTTAAGCTATTCCCCCTGGATCTTTAACTTTTGAGCCATTATTGGTCTAGCCTTATGTGGGGTCCACCAATTGAGGCTCCTCCTTTCTTCCGATAGAGGCATGGTTGCTGCTGCTCCACATGCAGCTGAAGCAGGGCCCTAGAACTGTTTGTCTTATATGTTTGTCCCTGCCTTTCACTCTAGATCTCTAAGTCTGATAGAAAAAAACTACAATTTTTATATTTTAGACATCAGTTCTTGAACAACATCTGGGTGTCTGTATTCCTCCTGTGTTGAGAGCCACAGTTAAGTYGGAATGACGCCTGGAATTTTGCCAGAGGGAATGGTTGAAAGGTGACCCGGCTCCAGGATTAGGGCAGATCCTGCTTCCTCAGGCGCCAGCTACTTTGGAGTTCCCGTTGAGTTCTCGCGGGGTTCCAAGAGAATTGGCRTGTGTTCCTCGGAAGAGTATATAGAGTGTGGGTGAGAGTTCAGGAATAAAGAGTTGCTGTTTGAACCTACAAGGCTTTGTGGCAGCTCGGTTATTTGTGCCCAGCCAGACTGTGGCACTCCTGGGCTATTGTTTATATTGGCCATCCCCTTGCACATTTATAAAAATGGGTACTGCCATAGCCAGCATTGACCTGCCCCAATGCTGGATGTTTGGCCAAATGAAGTACCCTATTAGTTTTTAAAAAGGGAAACCATTCCCATCCCCAGGTCATAACCTCTAGRTGCCAGCAGCCTGGGTCCTACTGCTGCCACATTCTCTTCAACCAGCAGGCAGAAGAGAGTCTGCCTGAGGCAGGGGCAGGCTTGAAGTTAGGATAGAAGCTCAGCCCTTGGGAGTCCCACTTCCCCTACTCAAAAATTATTTCTCCCCATTCTACTCAGCTTCCCCAGCTTCTTCCTCTAGTCTGAGGCCAGCATCTCCAAACAGTGTTTTGCAGTAGGGATAACCCAAAACTGCCTGGATGTAGGGCCAGTACTAGAAGCAGGTAAGGATGAAGTACCAGCCAGCTGCAATTGAGTTAAAATGATTTATCGCTTTCTTAATTTTTCCTTTTGGTRTTCTGCTATATTTTTTGCACTGAAGACTGTGGGTTTTTTGTTTGATTTTGTTTTTTACCATTATCTTAGTTCCAAGTCATTCAGACTATTTATCATGTAATTACATAAATATGAATGCCTGAATATACAAAATGTCCTTCCTTTTCCTGACTTCTGACAGAGCAACTACAAGTGCAATATTTTATAATAATTCAGAATAATATTCAACAGCAATCTTTTCTCATTTTCCAAATCATGCATCTTTCAGACTGTGTTAAAGTAACATAGCATCTTTTTCTTAGTYAAAGTTTTAAAGCTTTATGTGATCCATTGAGCCAAACTTCTTTCCTAGAGACTACTAGCAAAAATGGACATGGTGTTGCCCATATCTTCAAGGGCCAGTAACAGATATAACAAAAGCACATATACAGACAAGGAGGGTGATTTAGTCAGCCTTATCATTGCTAGGACAAAAAGACCTAGCAAGAACAATTTTAGAGGAAGAAAATTTTATTTGGGGCCTCACAATTTAAGAACTCTAAGTATGTAGACAACCTACTTTATTCCTTGTGTCCTGCAGTGAAACAGAATATCAGGATCAAAGTTTATGGTAGAGAACAGAACAACAAGAATCAGAGAGAAAKATAGAGGCTCCACTCTCCAGTGACAAAAYATATATCCMAAAGTCACATCCCCAATGACCCACCTCTTTCAGCCACACCCTACATGCCTTCAGTTACCACTCAGTTAATCTCARTCAAGGAATTCTGTCACTGAYTGAGTTAAGGCTTACATAACCCAATCATTTCACTTCTAACTTTCTTGCATTGTTTCACACATGATATTTTGGAGGACACCTTATATCCAGCCYGTAAAGGGGATTCCCAAAATCAAGGCTAACAAATTGGAAACCTTTAAAACAGACCAACTAGATGAGGACAAATTACATAGTTTCCCTACTCCCATTGAATTATAATTCCTGCACCTGAGACTCACATATGTCCCCACAAAGAGATAGGAGATGTTTCAGTGAAGGAGAACCAGATGTATAAATTCTAGGGTCTTGGCATACACACATAGGACTTACCAATTTGCTAAGGCATAGACCAAAGGCATAGCAAATTTATTTCAAGTGAAAGAAAATTCTAAAAGACTGTGTGTAGG